ATTTTAATTTTACCTCTAGGAAAAAATGTTACTATGTAGAGTAAGGGTATTGAGTGTTTAAAAATATTGAATATGATCAAATATAAGTATTACTACTTTAACATAACCCTTTAGTGAAAGACTTGTTCGGAACTTAACGCCTTCACCGGAAAAAACAAACAAACAGTGACTTAGTTTGAATCAGTGGCAAAAACTAGGTTCGTTCTTGTATTGTCCGAATTAATCTCTTGCTTAGAAAAACGAAACCCAAGTATCGAAAATGAGTATTTTAAAAATAAAAAATATTGATTATGTTTTTACAAATTATGAGGAATATTACAAGTATTTCCTTTTGAAAACAACCGTTGTTTTAAGTATTATATGCAAACTGCAATGCTATACTCCAATATTTATCTTTTAGAAAGCTAATGAAAAAGAAATGCAATTTTTTTGTAAAATTGAGTAAAAGGGATATTCAAAAGGGTTATGATATAGAGCAATGGTTTAATGCAACGGTTGAATCATAGTATAATGCAACGACGTTTCTAGAAAACCATGTGTTGTGGTATTTGTATGACTTTAAATTTTGTACACACATACGCTTCATCTCAATAATCAATCCCAAAAAAAAAAGTTCAATTTGAACCTGGTCAAAATGAGTCCCTTTCAAAAACGAATCTAGACCATTAATTTTGTGAATTTTAAGATCTTAGTATTTAGAAACTCAAAATCATGTTTTTCTTTTCTAAGATTGTTCATCTAGTGATAATAAATCCATCAAAAAAAATTAGAAATGGAAAATTCCTTCTAAGGCCTAGATCTAAGCATATCACCAAAATGAATAGCCTATGTTAAATTGGGCAAAAAAAATACTTTATAGGTTATGTTTTCAAAATTTCATTTTTTGTGATTGTTCATTAGAATGAAAAAAGTGTATATTTCAAATTCTGGATCAAACAAATGGCCATATAATGGTTTTTTAAGATTATTGCATCATATTACTATACAACGGTTATATGAAATCATTTGCCCTATGATATATGACCCATAGGATTTGGGAGGTGATTTCCATACTCATGGACCCTATACAAGAAATTAGTGCCGAAAAAAGTTCATGTAAGGCATAAATTTGTAAGGAGCACTTCAAAAATCAAAACTTAATGGGGGAAGGTTGTTCAAATGTTAGAAAAATTCCAATTGATCATATCGATCTTGACATATATAAATATAAAAAAATAAACATCCAATTGATCATCTTGATTTTATATTATATTGTCTAGATTATCAATTTTTTAGATTTTCATGTGCTTATAAATATGCTCGATAAGCTTGATCTACGTCAAGAGCTTTAAATTTTTATATCTAAGGGGTGAAAATAGATTTTCAGGCAATTGTAGGCATTTTTGGCACTGAAAATCGCCTTATGATAGAGTTTGTTCAAGGTTGAAGCCTTCTATCACTCACAACCACTAACATTCAAGGCATGTTTGATGCACATAAGATTATATTTGTGAAAGATTATTTACATAAAAGAATTCCCCCGTGTAATTAGGTGTGGATTTTTTTCGCACCCAGTGATCAAAGCGCATCTTGTCACATCAATCGTGAACTACCTGATATGAAAAAGGCTCCTATACCTAATCACACGAGAGAGTTCTTCCATGTAAAAATACTTTCATAAAAATATTTTTACGCGTACCAAATATGCCCCTAGACTCTCTTTTAATGATACAGGTGTGTATATAATGAGCACTAGGCAAAAATACCTCGATAAAGAGAGTTGGTGACCTAAAATTTTCTCAAAACATCTCAGTCCACCCTAAGATCGACTTAAATAAATCACAGGGATTAAAAGTTCTTACATTTATTATCCATCAAACAGGAAAGCAAATTTAATTTTGGAAGGGACTTGATTGGAATCATTTTTTGAAATGGGATTGTTGTTTTTTGAGGTGTGGTGTATATAGAGATTCAATCTTTAACAATCAAAAGTATGTGCATTCAAACCTCGGCAGAAGATCCGATTTTGATGTCAAAACCCTACGATGGCTTGAAATATTTCTGCTCCAAATTATTAAATTCAAAATTTTCAAAATTGGTACAAATCGAGAAGATCTATAAATATTTACAAATTTCTAATTATGTGTTATATAAGATGTATTATTTTTACGAATATAATTTTTTATCTTTTTTTTTAATTTATTTTTTTTCTCCTTTTTTTTTTTCATAGGACTCGAACCTGAGAATCCAACAACACGAATTTCATCATTCGTCGTGCTGGCCACTTTATACCGAGGCTTCTTGTTTAGAAATTTTTCTCTTCTTACTCATACATCTCTAAGTGGAGATCACCGATTTGAGGTTTTTAGTATAAAAATAATATTTTGACCAAAAAAAAAGTCTTTTCTTGGTTCACATAAATGCTTTGTGTGGCCGCAAACTTTCTTGGTTCACATAAAAGGCACCTGCAAGCGGGAAGGAGAAATAAAAAAGGATGCCGCAAACTTGACATCAAGATGATTGGACTTGAGAAAAAAATGGATTTCAAATTTTGGAAATAGTATATCTTGTAATGTATTTTTGGACAGTCAATTTTTAAGTTATTTTAAGTTTTTATAGATATGCTCGATCTATACTATTTTTTAAGCTTTAAATTTTATAATTAAATATAAAAATATATTTTTAAGTCTATTCAAATATTTCCAATATGGGAAAAATTTATATAGAGCCGAGGCTCGAAACAATCAAATTTCAGCTTATCTAAAAAATTTCACTAGAAGAGATTGTTTTGATGCCCAAATATTTTCAAATTGATCATCTCGACATCAAGATGCATGGACACGAGAAAAAAATAGATTACAAGTTTTGGAAATAGTGTATTTTGTAATGCATTTTTAGATCGTCAATTTTCAAGACTTTTCAGCTCTCGTAGATATGTCGATCTGTACTATTTTTGAAGTTTTAAATTTTATAAATAAATATAAAAATATATTTTAAGGCTATCACAAATATTTCCCATATTAAAACTACAGTTTTTTACACTATTTAAAGGTAGGCTCTGATTTAATTGTTTAGAGCCTAGGTTGTATACAAAGCCGCACACTTCCAATATTGAAACTACATTTTCCGACACTATTTAAAGGTCGGCTCTAATATTGATGGTTTAGAAACTAGGCCCTGTACAGACTGTGTGTCCAGGACAAGAAATCGGGGCATTTTCGTCATTTCATAGCCGCGTTTAAAAATTTAAAATCCCGTCCCCGCCCGTGCTCCGTGATTTTTAAACGACCGAAAAAAGTCCTTTCTTGTACTAAATGGCCAAAATATCCAATACCGTTCCATGTATGACAAGCAGATGCCTCATAATATGAAAAAGTGAAAACTAAGAAAAAGTGCCTCAATTAAGGATCAAACATTATTAAACCGCATTTTTCTACAGATATCAACTTCGGAAAATTCAGACAAAAAGAAATCTTCCTAAGTAGCTCTTTCTGTTTCGATTCGACCCATCTGAAAAAATTGGTCAGTTATTGTTTGAAGCCGATCATCAGCTCTAATAACCTTTTCTATAAGAATGTAGTTCCTTCGGTTCGGACCGATGGCCGCACTGTTGTTTTATTCTGAAGACCGACCGTCTGGTTCATTTCACAGCCTTCCTGCTGCTCTTCTTTTGTTTAATAGAGCTCGTAGACAAACATCTGTCCCTCACTTGGTAAAACCCGGCACGCTTTCTCTCTCATATTTCACCATGTTATTAATTTCCCTTTGGTTTGCAGTTTGCAATTTTGAATTATGCATGATGCATACTAAACAAAATGAAAAAATCAAAAGATATTATATTCCTACGATAATAGAATGTCCATTTGCTCTCTCACGTCAAATCCCATCTAAAATTTATTTTAGGACCCAAAATTTGGGATATAACCTCTCCAATCTATATATTAACCTTAACAAAAAAAATTAAAATTTCTTAAATATACTCTCTATAGCCATTAAAAAAATATTGTTTCAAGATTGAATAAAGACTATCCAATTTTTAGATAGTGAATCTAAATTTTAGAAAACTCAATTTTCAATTTTTATTATATCTTCTAATCCCTAGACTAACTTTACCCATTTTAATTCTATATTTTTATCCCAAACAAATCTACCCACTAACTCTATCTTTTTAGCGAAATAAATGTACCCACTTTAACTCCATCTTTTTAGCCCAAATGAATGTTAAAAGATATGCATTTCTAAACCCTCCTCTCTTTTTTCATGTTTTTCCTAAAACTTCTCTCTTTTTTTATCTTTTTTTTTTATGAATCTCCCCAAATCTCTCTTTACACATAAGATTTGATGAGAATTATGGAAAAAGAGAGAAGAGAGATAGGGGTTTAGAAAGTATGTCAAATAGATGTAAAATGACGGGATCAGAAGATATAATAGATGGATTATTTATGTAGTTAGATATATTTTGCTAAGTAATAAAACTTAAAAACAAGATCTACCAAAATAATTTTTCCAATTAAAAATTACATTTTATTCATTGGCATGGTAAGTTGCTATTTGTTTCCTTCATGACCTCCGTGACACCTCAGCTCCCCATGTTTGCAACATCCCCACACAAAAAAAAATAGCCTTATTCCTTTGGGTGCAGTTTGTATACGGATGCATATGTAGGTGTAGAAGTAAGTTGCACCTTCAAATTTTATCATGGTATATAATTTTGATATAAAATGTTATAAGAATTATTTTAAAATCTATTTTTATATCTAATTATAAAATTTTAAATTTAAAAAAAAGTTAAAATAAAGTAGATCTATAAACATATAAAAATCTTAAAAATAGATGGTGTAGATAATATCTTGTAAAATACACTATTTTTTAAACTTAAAATCTTTTTATTTTTCTTAGTGATACGAGATGATTAATGAAAGGGTTTTCCCATCGATTTTTGAGGGGCATCCGTAGTAAGGTAATATCCTTGTATAAACTTTTTCATATTCTTTTACGTCATTTGAGTAGAAGATGATGGCTTTTACCTTAACTTTTTCTCTTACTACCGAGACTCATGAATGACTCACCTTTACGAGCGCAGGCATGGAAAAAACCAGGTGATTTCTGCAACCTTTGATCTTGCTTCTCGCTCTGAGGTTATCTCTCTCTCTCTCTACAAAATCTCACATTCATCTTATTTCTCTCTTTAATGTTATCTCTCTCTAGAAATTCTGCCATTTTTATTTCTCTCTTTAATGTTATCTCTCTCTAGAAATTCTCCCATTTTTCTCTTCCCAACTTTAGTTGTATTCTAGGGTTTTTTTACTCTCCTCTTGCTCTTTTCTACGCTTATGTTTTTCTCCACAGATTCCCTTTTTATTCATTTTCTCTCTCTAGTTTTGGTGTCAATCTAGGGTTTAGGTTTGTTTATTTTTGCTTCCTCTCTACACTTGGAGGGCTTTCATGGAAGGCCCTGCCATATCCCTGTTGATTGATAAAGGCCCTAGAAAGGGAATGACCCTAGAGGTTAAACCAGGATCTGACGTCAGAATAGGCAGAATCTTGAGAGAGAATACTTTTCAAATCAAAGATCCTGCGATTTCTCAGAAGCATTTGGTTGTGGAGTTTAGGGATAAGGAATGGATGATCACAGATTTAGATACCTCCAATGGAACAATGTTAAATGAAGTGAGAATCCCTTCAATGGAGCCTTGTACGCTAAAAAATGGTGATACCATCAAAATTGGTGTGAGAACAGCCATAACAGTTAGTATTTTAGAGAGAGAAAATGTTTTGCCTGCAACCAATCTTAGGAGAAACACCAGGAGGCAAGTGAATGCCAAAATTGATGTCAAAAAATGTGGAGGCGATGTTGCGGTGGTAGAAAGGGGTGTGCAAGCATTTGAAAACCCTAATTTTGATAAAGAAAAGGTTTTGCCTGAAACTAGGGTTAGGAGAAACCCTAGACGCCAAGCGGCTGCTGCTTCTTCAAAGGTTAATGAGGTTTGTGATTTTAACCATGGAGTCAATACTGAGAAAGGAGGGGAAGACGATTTGGGTGAAAGATTGGAAGAACGAATGTCTGAAAACCCTAATTTTGACACTAATAAATCCCCTGCTAAAGAGAAAAATGAAAGAGGCAAAGAGAAAAATGAAAGAGACAAAGAAATTGTGGGGGAAAACTTGGGTGAACAAAAAGAAATTGCTTTGGAAATAGATGAAGGGGCATCTGATAAAATGCCTGAATCAAGCATTGATATGGAAAATATTACACTAGGGCAATGGTTAGATAGGATGGAGAGATGGTGGCCAAAGCATATACACAACATCACTGAAGGGGCAATTTCGAAGATGAGAGAGCAAGCTAAGGAAATTCGTGATCTTGAGTTGCAACAAGAGGGAAGAATAGCGTGAAGACCTCAGGTTAGTTTGTCAACTTAAAAAGAGAAAAGAGAAACCAAAAAACCTTTGGGTCTCTCAGGGCAAGGTTAATAAGGCCCAATAAATATTGGAATCTCACCGATGGGGGTGTAATGGCTGAGATTTGGCCAAGAGCCCAATATTTTGGGATATTGCCCATGCCTGTTTCCATTTCATTGCCCGATATTCCAGGCTTCCTGGCGGAGGGTTCAAACCTATGTTGGTTTTGAGTGGATTTTATGTGCTCATAGTGTTTTCCATTCAGAATTCACTCTTTACGATGTAAATTTTCCAAGGGAATGTAGATACCCATGCTAGCTTGGTAGCTTTGCTGTCGCTTCTGATTATTGTTGTTCTATATAATTTGAAGAAACTAGTGTTGGTTTGTTTTACATCAACAATTTTTCATTTTTGTATAATGGGCTGTTTAATGTATTCTAGGATGCATTTTTCAAAAATCTCTTGCATTGTTTGTGCCAACTATGAGGATATTCATCATTATAGTAAAGACATGCAGGGCCTCACAGATCTATGAATTTTCAAGTGGTCTTTTGACTTTCTCTACCCTTTTCCTATTATATGAATTAGCAGTGGTTAGACTGGAACTGTATATTCTTGTTTTTGCAGTCTAATTGGTAGATTCCTACCTCTTTGCTGCTCAGTTACTTTTATGGATTTCTATTTAATTTCTCTAGCTTTTTTTTAATGGTACATTTATAACAGTATGCCATGGGCTCAGTGTGTGAATAGTTGATGTGCATGGCTGGCACTCTCATGATTTGATACAATGATCTGCTGAAATGGGTTCAATTCTTGGATTTCGTGGTTCTGAATTATGTTTCTTGTCACTGATGTTTTTTGTATTTTTTGACTGCATAACTTGTGGTTAAGTGAAATACATAACTGGATGTAGTTGTGGTTAGGTTTGGTGATAGTCAAAATCACCACTCATATATTTCCTAAAAAAGAACAAGGGGGTTTTCTTGGAAAGCGAGAAAAAACTCCAATGATTTCTATACAAGGGATCAAAGAGATATAATATTTATTTTTCTTGGGGTCACGCTATTATGGGTTAGGGGAGGGGTTGGCTTCTAGGGAGAAGGTAGGGCCTCCAATAGAGAGAGGAAGGACTCCTTGTAAAGAGAAGCATGTCCTTCAAGTAACAGAGGTGGTATTTAGAGGGGTTTTGGGTTGGTTCATTCTCTACTTCTAGAGAGAATCGTTACGTTTCTCTCAAGGTTCTCTTTCCAGTAGTGGTGCAACAATGAGAAATAGGACGATCGATGGTGTTGTTCAGTTAGGAGAGCGGGTTTAAAAGGAAAAACGGTAGGGTTTTTTTCCGATGTTTACAAATAGGGGTATAAAGCTTGTAACCCAAAACTATAGTACTTGTAAGTGTGGACTTGTCTCTCCAAGGACGTGGACATAAAATAGGGGTATAAAGCTTGTAACCCAAAACTATAGTACTTGTAAGTGTGGACTTGTCTCTCCAAGGACGTGGACATAGCCTATTTGAGGTGAACCACGTAAATCATGTGTTGTTGTGGTATACACTTCACTTTTGCTTTATTTTTCACACTTTTTTATTGTTGTTATATTCACCTATTTCCCATCTAGGCTACCATGTTCATTATTTTGGGTGGGATCCCATTATTTGGTATTCATAATTCTGCAACAGTATGGTTCCCAAGGACTCTGCAACAATAATATATTAAAAAAAGGACCCGCAACAATAACTCAGAAGGTTACAAATGTAAATTCATTTCAATGATTAAGTGAGAGCTTTCTTAGAGGATGGAAAGGTGGCTAATGAATAATTGTGTGCCCTTGTCTATTCCATAGGACATTGTTGGGATGCATCTGTCCATAGTTGGGGTATGGCCACTTTTTTAATCCAAGTAGATTTGCTCCTATTTCTTGGCATTGCTTGATTCCATTCATCAGTGCAGCAATGAGCATGGCTGTAGGTCCTTTGCTTGGATTGTTGGTTGGTGTGACTTTTATAAATTGGCGAATATTGGAATGTAATGTCCAAAGAATACAGAAGTTGTTAAGCCCTGTGCTTTCTTCTGTAGATAATTTGTGGGGCCAATAATCTGCGTTTAACTTGGACGTCTCCCCATTCTCCATCTTTGTGTGTTGGGTGCTATTTCATCTCCATTTTGTCAACTCCTTTCACTGCCTATAAGGAGTGTGTCCTTAACGTACTCCAAAAATTGGTCAATACCTCCATAAAAGTGATCTCTAGTAGAAATCACTTTTGGGTGGGTGATCTTTTGTTTAAATGTTTTCATTCTGTTATTTGTCAAGTTGTTCTATTATTTGGAAATAAAGGAAGGCGCAGATTTGCATCGAGAAGTCATTCAATAAGAAACTCCCTTAGTCATATTTTCAATCTGGTGTTGCTTTTTACCACTGACTTTCTAGTTATTAGAGTGGCATTATCTCAATTCTTCACCAACTTATTGAAATTGACACAAGCTGTATACTTGTAGTGCCCAAAATGACTATATCATCGTCAGCTATATAAACAGTAAACAGTACCCCTGTGTATTGTCAGCCACTTTACAACAGCTGGAGAAGGAAAGGATTGGCTATGGTTATATAGAACTAAGGAATCGTTACAATGAAACAAGTATAATTTTTATACAAGTGTTACACTAGAAAAATAGTTAAAATAGTGTTGTGTCAAAATAACATTAGGTATACCACTTGTTGAGTAGTGGAACTTGGTTTGAATCTCTCTCAGGTTAGGCTCCTGAGTTCAGCTTGCGCAACTAAACACAAAAGGATGACTCCAGAAGAATCTTCATAATGTTGCTTGTAAGCCATAATGATGACATCTTTAACACTTCATTGCCAAAATAGTTTCCCACTATTATGTCTGGTAATGAGTGTTTCTGTAGATCCCTCAAGATCACCAATAATCCTTGCAAGAACACATTCCATCTTTGAAGTGATGGTAGCGAACCCGATCTCTCACAACTAATTCACGATTATAGACTCTTGAAATGATTTTTGTTGCAGAGTGGCAATCACCACACACACGAAGGTTCTTAACAATACGGATGGGCGTTCCTGGAGCAGTGCTAAGAAACCCAAAAGCAATTGCTAGTTTCTCACTGTGGTGACATAATGCACTTTCCTTATCTTCCTCATCTATATTAAACAAAACATGCTTAGTGTTTGGCACATAACCTTCCATTTTCAATTGCTCCATTATCTCCTTCAGCATTTCATGAATTTCCTTCATTTGTGGGTGCATGCCATCTCCCATGACAAATTCATGTATAACACCATCCAAGTCTATGATGCTACACCCAGGGGTTGTCTTGATACCCCTATCTTTCATCAATTTTCTTACATCTGATACCTCATCCCATCTACCAGCCGATGCATATATGTTCGATAGCAGAGCATAACGGCCACTATTTTGTGGCTCTAAGTCAAGCAAGAGCTTCCCCACTCTCTCCCCCAATTCCAAATTGCCATGAATCCTACAAGCCCCAAGTAGAGCTCCCCAAACACCTGAGCTTGGTTCTACAGGCATAGATCCAATGAACTCCTCAGCCTCGGCTAAGAGCCCCGCCCTACCTAAGAGATCGACTATACATCCATAATGCTCCATCATGGGTTGAATGTTGTGCTCTCGTTTCATGGACTCAAAGTATTGAAGTCCTTGCTCTACCAATCCTCCGTGAGCACATGCATTCAAGACACCAATAAAGGTGATGCCATCTGGCCTTACTTTCTCTCTCTTCATCCTTGAGAAGTGTCGGATTGCATCCATGCCATGCCCATGCATGGCAAGCCCTCCAATCATGGCATTCCATGGGGACACCTCTTGACATCGTGTCTCCGTAAAAACCTTTTGTGCCATATCCAAACACCCACACTTGGCATACATATCTATCAGTGAAGTTCCTAGAATTGTGTCTGTTTGAATCGAGTTCTTCTTGAGGTAAGCATGGATCCATCTCCCTTCTTCTACCGCCCCTACTTGAGCACAAGCAGCAAGCACACTTGAAAACACAAATTTCTTTGGTGATATTCCCCTGCCCATCATCTCTCTGAAGAGCATTAGTGCTTCCTTGCCATGCCCACATTGTACATATCCATCTATCATGGCACTCCATGAGACTTCATCCCTTGATGGCATTTCATCAAACAGGTCCCTTGCTTCATCAATCAACCCATATCTCATGAACCCTGTGATCATAGCATTCCATGACCCAGTACTTCTAAATGGCATGTTCTGGAACAGCTCCTTGGCCTCCTCAAGCTCTCCATTTTTCAAGTGGGAGTCAATCAAACAATTCCAGGACACGACATCAGGTTCATGAATTCTATCAAATAATCGGCGAGCATTTGGAAGCTGCCCGCAAGAACCATACATCTGAATCATGGAGCTATGCACATGTCCATAACTCATGAGCCCATGTTTGATGACGTGGGTGTGCACCTGTTCACCTTCTTTTAGAGCTTTAATACCATTACATGCCTTAAATACAGAGGGAAAGGTGAAATTATTGGGTTGAACATCTTCTTGAACCATGGTGCAGTAGAATAGGATGGCTTCTTCCAAGGCATTGTTTTCTGAGCACCCTCTTATCATGGTGTTCCATATGAATGGGTGGGGGTCTTTCAATTGGTTGAAAACTGCGCGCGCATAGTTAAGGTTGCCTGATGTGGGTTCTGCACAGAATTTTACAAGGGAGGCCATGAGAAAGTTGTTTTGGCTGAGGCCATGTCTGGTTATTTGGGCGTGGATTTGCTTGAGGTGGTTCATGGAGGTGCATTTGGACTCCAAGAGTGTAATGAATTGGTGGGCGGTAGGTGTGGAAATTAGGGCTTGTTTAGTGGGTGAGGTCGATGGTTTGACTACCCCTAGAACACTCATCTTCATCTGAGAGTAGGCAAAGCCACAAGAGTTTGTATGACAAAGGAGATGGGAAGTAGGGATAAATGCACGCAAGGCTCCTCCAGTGTGTAAGATTTGAAGATATGGAGATCGTGATAACGATATTATTGCAATGGTTTTAATGAGTTGTTTGTTGTTTTGTCCCCGCATAGGCTGACAATACCTAACATATCCTTGCATTTTCTCTTAGGACTGTGCAGTGAGAAATTAGTAGAGGAGACTTTTCGTGGCTTGTTACCCAATTTTGCTTATGCCTTGTGGTTTCAAATGTATAATATATGAACTCTCAAGTGATATTTTACTGGTTTACTGCAAAAACAATGAACTAAGACCTACCTTTTCTCAATTCCATATTCAAAGGAGAGAAAATAATACAAAATTAATTACTGCAAAAACAATGAACTTAGACCTTTCTTTTCTCAATTCCATATTCAAATAAGAAAGAATACAACATTAATTACCAAAAGTATCAGTAAATAAATTACAATAATGGATATCTCACCAATTTATTAAAAAAGAAAACCATTAAATGAAATGATCTTTTGAAGCACTGCAACTTGTTTTTCCTATGGCATTATACATCAGTTGGGAGACATAATACTCGCTCCGTTCACGTAGCATGTGAGCTGAGATCTCAACCAAAATCTTGATTTGTATGAGCGAATTTCTATTTATGTCCAGTTCTTCGATTGGCCGAGTCTTAATTTGACCTATGCAGGAGATAAGTGAAATGCACCTAATAACATAAACCAATGCTCGCAATCAAAATATTTGAAATTTGGGGTTGAGATTCTCCTTCATTCTAACTCAAGATAACTTTTTCAGCATCAATGGTTAGGCAGCCATTAGTAGGTAGATGATCAAGTTTTTCGTTACTTGATCCTGTTTGATGATGGAGTTTTCTGTTGATCCATCTTATGTGATGATCGTCGAGTTTTTTGTGATCCCAGATGTTTCGAAGAAGAGAGAAAGAAAGATCATTTTCTTTTAGAGAGAAAAAGCCCCTAGATCGAAAAAAAGCCTTTGAGAAAAAATATTCAAAGAAGAAAATCCTAGAGAGAGTCTTTAGAAGAAAATAGAGAGTCCAATAAATGTTGTTTCTTGGAAGACCCTAAACAGAGAAAGTCTCTAGAAAAAGTAGAGCCCAAGAAAGGTTGTTTCTTGGAAGATCATTGTAACCTGCGAAATTTATCATGGATTTGATTACTATTCATTTTTTTGGCACCTTAGTCTTGTTCAAACTCTAGTTGTTTTGTGTCAAAGCATCTTAAGTTTGAGGGGGAGTGTTAGGATATGGATATCTCGGGTTCTCAAAGCATCTTGAGTTTGAGGGGAGTGTTAGGATATGGATATCTCGGGTTCATATTGATATATATCATTATAGATGTATAGGTATATATCTTGGTCATCAAGTTCGTTTGGTAATAAGGCCTCATATTATTTACATTTATCTCCAAGAATCATATCATATTTATTTCCTGGAATTGTGTGAATGTCCTCTATATATAGAGGTACTTATTGATATAAACATTTATCCAAAATAACGAAGATGTAGCCAGTTGGGCTTTGGATATGTGGACATAAAGCTTCAGCCTGAACCACGTAAATGTTGTGTTCTCTGTTCTATCACCGCCAATGCACCAACAATGTGGGGGGACCGAAGCCTCAAGATTCAGTTCTTCCCAAAACCGTAGTTTAATTGGAGAAGAGTTGGGACCATAAACAATAGTGAATTTCCAAGGAAAGGAATCGAAAACTCTGAAGAGGGAGATGGAAACCGACGATAACAAGTTGTGAAGGGTTGGATCCCATTATGACCCAAATGCCACCCGCTGACATGGTCTAGACCCCCAAACTTGTCGAATGAGGGAGAGGGAAGGCCTAGGGAGTTTAGTTTCAACTAGGGCTAGAACAGAGGGGAGTAGGATGAAGCGAAATTGTGGACGTGCTTGCGTTTGCTAGGGTCACCCAATCCCTTGATATTCCCAGTCAATATCTTCATGAGGGAGGTAGAGAGGAGGGGCCAGATCGGGAAGATTGTCGAGATGAGGGAAGATCCGAAGTAGTCCCCTGAATTGTTGCGACATTCTAATCGTAATTGATCCCAAATTCCATATTGACTAGTTCTCGTTTGCGTTTTGCCATAGTCTTGGGTTGGGTCTCTTGATCTGGAAAAACGTAAGTTTTAAGGACCTTTTGGGGTCCCTTGAAACCCATGCCCATGACCTTCATGACCGAGATCACCCTAAGCTTTATTATATGAAAAACGAGCTAACAGAGGCGGGAGAGTCATCGGAAACAGACTCAACTGATGATAGGTTAAGGCAGTTGGGAGTGGGAGAGCTGCGTGCATATTCTGAGGTGGGTAGGGGGTTATGAAGCTCCATTGGCATCATAGCCTGTCGCGAGACACATGGAAGGAGGTCTACTTCTATAGCAGGACGAGGGTGCCGGGGCTCGAAAGAAGCATGTATATAAACCGGCCAACACGTCTGACGATAGAATTTGTGGTGCCTGGATCCCCAGGCTCGAGTCTTACCAACGCTAAGGTAACGGGATCTTCCCCGCTACAAAGGAAAAAAAAGAGAAAATAAATAAAGTAGAAAGTTGAAGGTTGATGTTGAGAATTTGAGAGATTCCTCGTACTATAATACCTACACTTGTTCTTCCTATAGTTTTTGCATCAAAATTTAACGGTCTCTACCTATAGTTTTTGCAGCTCAAAATTTAACGGTCTCTAGACTCTTGACTGCCAAATCCAATTATGGAATTTCAAGCTTCCAAGCATTTGCAACACATTTTGAAATATTTTAACTAACGAATGAATATTGACAATATAAATATTGATGAGAAAGGGACACCACCCACTACATTGCTTCAGCTCAAAGTTCCCTAGCACAAACTGAAAATAAGGATCCTTATTGCCCTTGTTATTTGGATCGAGGCGGTTGGATAGAAGCAAAAGCAGCAAAACCACGAGGTCCTTCAAAGATTATCCATACATCACTATTCTCATTTTTTGGACTAAATATTCAGCAGCACTGCGTTTCCTTCAATGTATGTGAAGGAAGAAAATTTCTCAAGGTTACAATTACACTAGGATTGATGATCAAGTACATGAATCTCAATATTGATTATCACCTAAAAAGTTGAAGCCCTTGTGACTTCCAGTTAGTTGGATCCATACTTGCATGCCTTGCTTGCCATATGATTAATCCACAATATGGCCAGTCCCCATGATCTACATGATCCAATGTCTGGAAATGGGAACACAAAAGCAATCAATCCAAGACCAGTTTTCAAGCCGCAATTTTCAGAAAATAAATCTAAATCTTTACTGAAAAATAAAAAGAAACTGAAAACATTTAATGGGAAAAGCATCATACAAATACAGGCAGAGTCTTAATTCTCAATGCATGGATCAAGCAATAACTCACATATGCAACTTGGTTAAGTGAACTTGCCAAGAATGATGCAGTCAACGTTCAGGTGATGAGAAGAATATCACTAGGAAATAAACAACAAATCCTGCTATCAAAATTCCCCCATAGATAAATGCCTGGGAAGATTGCACAGGAGCCCTGTACTCAGTGTTACAGCATTTCATCTTCTGCTTCTCAGTTGCTAGAACGCGCTCCACATATCTGCAGAGGAAGTGGAAGAAAAGAAGGGTTGACAGACCAGAAAGGAAAGGAATTGGCCGCTACACATCGTTAGAAAGAGAGTCGTTCTATATGCGTGAAATATATTGATTAGCGTGCACACTAAAAACTTTTTTTTTTTTTCTTTTTGAAACTGTTAGCATTTGCACTCAAGAATACATCGGTACGACATTTACTTCCTTGCGACATAAACCTAATGCACAATGTTTGTGAACTTCAAGATTAATTGTTCTAAGAGAGGAAGTCACAAAAAGTATATGAAGATAGGAATAAAGCCTAAAATTTATGAGATGGCCGCCAATCTTTTATCGCCCTACTGCAATAATATTTCATAAAACATTGAAAAAGATTCACAGAGCCACTCACTGTTGTGTAAATAGAGTGCTTTGGAATATTTCTGAACTGTTGAGGTGCGCGTCTAATAAGCGGTGGTCATATAATAATGATGATAGATCCACAAGTTGCTCCTCAAGACTCTGATGGATGCCCAAACAAAAAATTACACATGGCACTCCAGTCAAAAGTTATGAAAGCGTGAGAGTTATCTTTATGAAGTTCAATTCATGAACATCTTTAACCTTTTCAAGTTTGAGGAACCACTTACATCCAGGTAGTGCTCCAAACGTTCCACCAATTCATGTGGGAAAGGCTCAGGTAAGTTGGTGGTCTTCTTGATAAACTTCTCTAACCATAGTTCTGTGCTTGACTTCTTCTTTCCGCCTTTGATTGGCTCACCAAGTGGAGTTTTTAGATGCTCCGCAGCAAATGATTGAACAATCTATTGAATGAGAAAAACCAAAAAGGATCAATATGACAAGAACGAGTACATTGTATTTGAATTGACCACCAAATTATCATCCATACTTCTGACGTATCCCGTATTCTGCGAAGTGCAGTGTCTACACGTGCATATATGGTGTTCCTCTGCAACAATAAAGTACTGTTAAATACAAAGGTCAACTTGTTGACAACCAATATGGTAGTTTACATTCTAATTCTTTCTTTTTACATTGTCATTCACAATAAGAAAATGTAAATTATATGTACCTACCATGAAAAGTAATGTTCGGTATGCAACTTGCATTATGTACAGAAAAGCAAAGATTAGAAGGATGCATACATCAACAAGACAATGACTACATGAATGTATCCCTCAACATCCATCCAATGTGGAAAGGAAATTTCTTCAAGAATGACACCCATAAAAATGAACAAATATAGTAACTCTGAACAATCAGAAAAATCTTATTGTCCATACTAATTTAATCCAAACCCTTAATTTTGCTTTACATGCAATGCCTCTCCAAGTCCTCCGCGTGTCCTTTTTCTGCGTGCCGTTTTTATTGGATGCAACTTTTTCTTTTCTATGGAGGAAAATATTGAATGACTGTACAAAATGTGTGCAGTAAGAATGAGGAACAGCACTTTTCATTTTTATTTTGGAAACAGTAGTCTAGGAATTCTATGAATTCTCTCATAGCCATTTTCTTTTAAATGATTCTGTGTTACATCAAAGGGAATTGCTTGTATCAAGTCATAATTATTTCCCTTTTTGCCGCTGCCTTCTCTTAGCAAATAAAATTATTTGGTTTCTTTATATACTGTGCCAAAGATTCAATAATTTGCTTGTGATCTTAAATGAACTCTCAAGTGGACAGGCTTTTCAATCTCTTAAAGAGAATGGAACTGAAATGAGTTTTAACATACCAAAGCAATATCCTGAAGCAAAATACTAATCTGGGAGGCATTAGAAAATGGCCCAAATGGATGACACCCTGTTGCCCATAGCCAATTCAGCACTGGTCTTTCATGAACATGTGAGGCCTTTTCATAAGGTGCACTCAACCCACCCACTGTAGAAGCAAGTCCAGCCAAAATGTGTCGCTGTGCTAAAGAGGGAACAGCGTGTCTTCTCTCTGTTTCTGAGACATAGCTGTTCCAAGTACCCAAAAGAAATGACATGTGAGATTGCTATCGTAGAGTTTATCTAGTGCAGAGGAACAATATAACATGGAATGGATGCATAATGTGACTGTCTCAAACATGTACTCCCCCTTTCTAATCCATGCGTGTTCATGTTAAGAGATAAGACCACAAGGTAGAGTTTTAAAAGCAGGCTGCGTCATAATAGCTAAGCAGTGTTTATCAGAAAGCCCTGTTTTCATTTGATTGCTCGGGCTGACACACCCTGACATGAGCCTATCATTTGGGCCATGCATATCAGACCTGTCAGGATGCAGACACAACATACACTGTATCATATTTACTTTATGTTCAAAGAAAGTTAGTTGTGGGACTTGAGCATACAACCTCGAAATATGAGTGTCAAGACTCTACCACTATACTAAAAATGGTAGACATAGATCTTTTCAAAATCTTCTTATGATAAGGTTATTAAGAGAAGCATTCATTTGAAATCTAATAAAGAATATTTATTGTTCAATATACTTTATAGTATTATGTTCTCTTAAGATTAGGCACATATATATAGGGATTGTATACGACGAGACTTTATTTTTGGTACAATGAGGTCACAATCACTTTTGGCTATTGGATGTGAAATCCAATATAAATGATAATGCGTCACAGCATCCGAAAAATTTTATTTTGGACTTTGTGTCCAAACATTAACACATCCTCAACCACCCAATTTCAAATCTAATGGTCAATAATGATTGCATAATGTGCTATGCTAATGAAGAAAGTGATGCCCACCTCTTCTTATTATGCCCCCTTGCACAGGAACTTTGGGGTGCACTCCTTCAACTCTTCAAGTGGCAATGGGTCCCACCCCAGTCCATCCCACTCCTCTTTAGGTCCCTCCACCCCTTCCCATGGCCCAAAGCTAGTGTCCTCTTGTGGAAGGCTTCTGTTGCGGCTATTATCTAGGACATTTGGACAGAGAAACAGTAGAATCTTTAGGGTGAAACGTCCCTGCCGGCATCCCTTTTTGACAAGATGGAATCCTTGGTAATTTTCTAGGCGACCAACCACAAATACTTTAAAGGCCTATCCCATGCCGCCTTCTTCCAAGACTGGCAAGCCATAATCTTTTCAAGACGTGCTCGCATACCCTAGGCCTCTCTCTGGAGACCACCAGCTCAAAGGCAGATCAAATTAAACTTTTACAGCTACAACCTCGACAACCCTGGCCCCTCTAGGATCGGTGGCTTACTCAGGGATCACACTCTTGCTTTCTTCTCCAAAAATATCGGTCACTCGGGTTCCCACACAACTAAAGCCCTCTCTCTCCTCAAGGGCATCAGACTCTGCAACCCTCAGTGGAGCCTCTCGTTAGTGGTAGAGGGGGGTTCCAAGAACGTCATCAGCTGGGCCCTTGGGACCTCTCCTCACCCTTGTTCACCTACTCAAATATTTGACGAAATTGCGTACATCTGCAGGGATACAGACGTCTCTTGGAGGCATATTTGGCGTGAAGCCGACACTCTCGCTAAGCGCTGCATTAACAACACCATTTGGCCCTTACCCTTCTAACTAGCCCTTTTACTAGGGGGTTTTTTGTAACTAGCTTATCTTCTATCACCTGAATGGGGAATTTTTGTAACGAGCTTATCTTCTATCACCTGTATGGGGATTTTTTGTAACTAGCTTATCTTCTATCACCTGTAAGGAGATTTTTTATACAAGGTACCCTCTTTAGAGGTTGCCTTGATATTTTTGTATCGAGTTCCCGTTTTGTGGGAGGATTATTTTTTTGTTGAGCGCTCCCAAGTTGTGGGAAGCCCATTTTTGCCCTCTTGTATCTCTCTCTCTCTCTCTCTCTCT